TGTGTTTTGTGGATTATTGAGGATACTTGTTTCTGCTCCTAGCCTCAGGCTCTTCATTAACCATTAATAGTTTTATACTACTCTGACTAAGCAGAGGACACTTTAGAAATCTGTACTTCTCTGAGTGAGAAGTACTGTCAAAATACTCTTGGCTGATTAAACTGTAATTTTAAGAGTCATGAAATTTCAGGCAAAAAAAATCCTCAAGCATAAACTATCCAAACCCTGCATTTGACAGATGTGGAAACTGTGTTCCAGAGAAATTAAGTGACTTGGCCCCAGGAACACAGCTGACTAGTGTCCTCACTTAAAGTAGGGCTGTACCCTCATTTCCAGTTCAGTTCTCTTTCTGTGACATACAGCATTTCAATGACTTTGGCCTTCAAGAACTCCAATTAGCACAGCAGTTAAGAAATAACTAGGTATTATCTTCCTGAACTTTTCTGATCTTATGAAATCATGCAGTTTATAATAGCTTATTATTTTACTCATTTGAAAGAAAATTCAGGGGCAAGGTCAATGGGAGCAAATTTGTATTTAAATTACAACTTGCAAAATAAATTTTAAGTTAATACCAGATTTCACTGCTGACTGTCGCACATTTCATGTCCCTCCAGGTATGAAAGCCTTCTGGGTTTTTCTTTTAGCTTCTGAGGTTTGTCTTGGTTGGCTAATGGATACTGAACATATTTGTTTGCCTACTTAATTCAATAGTTAATGACTAAGAAAACAGTCCATCATTAAGAGTATTGCATTTAATATCTCTTATTTCCATCCAAATTATGTTTTAAGTTGAAAATGAATTTTTTTTTTGGAAAAGTGAGTAAGATTCTGGCCTCATTATTAGAAAACTTCAAAGCTAGAAGATCTCTTGGATTTTGAAGCATGATAAAGAGAAACAGGTATTTCTTAATGGAGCTATCTGGACCCAAATGGTCCCGTTTACTGAAAGAGGCAATATAATTAGAAACAGCCAGTGGAGAACAGTGTACTTAATCAGTAGCAAGGACCTGGAGATGTGTGCTTCTTTCATATCTGACCATGCGGGCTACCATCCACTATCTGAGGGCTGCTTCTTTAGTGCACCCCTCATTCTCACTCCCCAGTTTATACACAGAAGTGCCAACTACACAAGGTAATTTACATACTTAGCACTTTCCCACCTAATGAAGTGTGAAGGCAGAAAGTACCACTCTGTTACAGATATCTAGTATGTTTTTTCATGTCAGGCTTTTAAAGTGGCTTTCTTCTTGGTCATGATTCTCTGAGTAACCTGAGTAATCTAGATGCCCTTGAGGATGGTCCTGGTTGAAAATCTCTTAATATACCCACTGAAATAAAAAGTAAAGCCCTTGCCTCCTGGGTTTCAACGCTGCATGAGTAATAGGTTAGTTAGATGATATCTGTACCTACGTGTGAAACAATGACCTGCTCTAAGTTGCTAGGTAAGTGGAAGGTGATGGATGACTTCCAGGTAACTCAGATACATTTAAGGCATTTACCACAAACTCAGCCCAGAGTGGGAGGAACTCAGTCATTTGTGTCCTAGTTGCAGACTCATGCAAAAGAGATGCCTTGCATCACTGCAGAGTGAGCCACACACTGGGAAGCCATGCTATTCTGTGCCCCAACCCATAGGTGGGTGCCCGTATCCTACTGTTGACATATGGTGCCCCATCATTAGCCAGATGGCAGAAACACTAGAAAGGACTTGCACACACATGAATAATCTAAGATGGACTGTGGGAGGCCATTAGGAGAGGCTGGTGGGGGTTCAAAACTGGTGTGTGGCTGTGGAAGCCTGAACAAGAGTTTAACAGCCAGAGAATGCAGCCTTTCTAATCACAGCAGAAAAGATCCTGAAGTGGCCATCAGATAACTCATGGCCTTGAATTTTGCCTGGTCCTTTGGTACTTACATCTTCTGCCAGCTGGCCAAGGCATACTGCCTAGCCTTTTCCAGAGACTGTTATGGTAGCTAGACCAACTCAGGCCCCTCCAGCGAGCTCCCAACACAGCCCTTAGTCAACACCAGCCTGTGAGCCAGCACCCTAGATGATATCCTTTTAATAGAGTCATTCTCAGGCAGAAAATAATTGAAGTATGCTGATGGAAGGACAGGAGCAGACATCCAAACAGGGCAGGTATGGCATAGCCTCATGAGGGACAAGAAGAATGCAATGACTAGGAAATGGAGACCTGAGTGGTAGCACACATTCTGCACTGGCCAACTGCATGGCATTGAATGACTTGCCTTACTGAATTTATTTCAGTTTCCCAATCTGTAGAATGGGAAAGCTGGACTGGATTCCTGAGGCCTCCCTAACTGAGACATGACAGCCTGCACACAAACTATAGGGTGTGGCTCTGCAGAGAGGGTTTGGGAGAGAACTGGTCTTTCATTAGGAGCCAGTTTAATTTTCTGTCTTAAACACCAAGCTATATGTTTTAAGACATATTGGATTTTGCATTCTATAGAAGGATTATAAGCAGATGGACACATCTGAAAGAAAAAACATCACTTGTAGACAAAATCAAGGTTTCAGTAGTAGGCTAATGCACTACTTAGGGCTATAAACCAAAGATCAAATATTTCTGATCATAATGGGATACCTGCCCTGTGATTTCTGATTTGGGAATATTTTTCATACATCTTCCTTCCCACTTCCAAACTCCAGTCATACTCACAGAAGGTTTAGATTCTTGACCCTGCAGCAGACAGGGTCAAGAATTGCTACTTTGGCATACTAGTGTTCTTTCTTAGATCTCCTGACTTTTTAATTCCAGGCTCAGAGGAGGCACCTGAGTCCTTCTTTCTACTCAGATCCCATTTTTGCCTCCTCCCCTTCAGGGATGTGATACTTCCAACTGGCCACTCCAACCCTCACCCCTCTCCTCTTTTCCGGGGTGCTCCAGTCTTACCTTCCTCATAGGCTTTTCCTTCTCTTTCAAATCTTCCCAGATCTTCGTTATCTAAAATATTAAACCAGTTTTCTCTTCTCTACTTGCCTTTTAGTCACCCTATAATCTTTTTCCTTCCCCCTGCCCCCATATCCTTGGAGTAAATAACTTACAGCTCCTATTTCTACTTCCTTTGCCTCTTGCCTCTACAGTCTGGATGCTGTCCTGGAGCTGCTCTCCCAATGCCAAGGCTTCCCATGCTCCCCTCCTTTTTGTCTCAGACACTGGATATAACTGCAGGCCAGAGACAGGGCTTCACTCCACTAACCTCCAGGACCTAGTATTGACTGCGACTTAGGGGCTCAGCAAACCTTCACTCAACACTGAAGCTCTTCCGGCGCCGGCTCTCCCTTCCATACACTTCTCGCCCACCCATTCTTTTGCTTGCCCTTTGCCTCATTGGAATCCAAGCCTGCTTCACCTCATTGAGCTCAGTAACAATATTCTGGCTTGCTTCTTCACTTCTAATTCATCCCCTAGAGCGTTGTATCTCTTATATCTTCCCCAGAGCTCACTGGCAGTTCCCCAGGGCTATTGATCCAAGCTCAATCTCCTCAAGTAATATCTTACAATGTAATTAATTATTGCATAATAAAAAGTTATAGCTGTGATAGTGAAACATTTAAACTGAACAAAAAGGTATCCAGAAAGGTAGGTCTCTCTCCCATCCTGTTCTCCCAGTTTTCTTTCCCATAAGCAATCACTTTATATTCATCCTTGCAGAGATAGGCTGCAACATACAAGTGCTTCCTGATTAGGCCAGAGCTTACCACCATGCCTGGGGCCCTGTCTTGAATCCCAGTCAACTGGGCTGGGATTCTAATGGACATTTCTCCCAGAGTGGGGCTCTACCATCCAGCCTCCCAATCACCAGCTTGTGATTTGCTTCAACCTGAAGGGGCCTGAGACTACCCTTGCTCTTGCTAGACTGCCTGAGGCTTCCGGTGGCTGTGATGGACCTACAGACAAGATACTCTCCTGTGGCTACTGTGAGGGATTCCAGCACTGGGCACCCTTGTTGGAGTGAACCTCCTTCCTGGTCCACCCTCCAGTCCCAGTCCCACTAATCTTGACTTTGCTCTTCTGCCCCAACCAGAAATTGAAGGAAGTTCTAACTGGTTTTGCTTCTGAACCCTGAACAGGTAGGTTGTGTGACCTGTTGACCTGGTTTGACAGGAGATAAGAAAGAGATGACTGAGCTCCTTTGCTTCGGCACTATTGCTGCATTGTCTGGCCTCATTCCTAAGTATGGCCCCTTTTCAAATGATGCCCTGGAGTGATCTGAGAAAGAACTGGATGTTCTTCAGGATTCTGTCAGCTGTTAAAACCCTGTGTGCATGAACAGCGATAACATTTGGGTGCAGAAAGCTAATGTCTTTGTGGCCAAAGTGCATTTCCTCCTATCCAGGGAGAGCAGTGACTCCAGGAGCCACACTCTAGCTCTGCTTTTACTAAGCAGTAATGACAGCCTTGGATTTGGAAAACGTCTGTGTCATGACATCAAGAGTCTTAAAAACTGCCTCTGGGGAAATAGAAATTACTGTTGTAGTTAGATGTAAAGCAATTTAAGTACAAATAGGAAGATATTTTGTTCTTTTAAAGCCACCTAATGAACTATAGCCTTGGAATGGTAGTTGCTGAGGGCGTGCTACATTAGGAACACTTGGCATCATTTAAAATATTGATTTAGAAGCAAATTTTGATCTGTTAAATTGTGATATATTACAGATGACATCAGTGAGAGAGATTATCCTAATCTAGGGTTTCTCAATGTATGGTCCACGGATAAGAGTCTTGCAAGAAGAGATTTATTGATGAAATATATGTGAGAAAAGAAAAGCTGGATGTAAAGCATCTCACTCTGTTGTATATTTGCAATGTGTATTAGCACATTAAAGAATCTGAGAGGTCCCAGAGTAAAATAACTTCTAAACTTCCTTATTAACCCAAACTTCTTTGGCAATGAAACCCTTTATGCACAATGCCTACTAACAGACTGGAGAATGAAAGTTAAGAGGAACACATACTGGACAATGCTGCTTCAATTTTATCCACGTAAGATAAACTATTTATTTATAAAGAAATAATTGGTGCCTTTAAATATGTCATGTAATCATTATAATACAGACCAATAGCATAATATGCATTATATTATAAACCAATAACATAATATAATGAGTAGGTAAAATATTTAGGGGAACCTAACCAAGTCAAGCTATTATCTAATATTATCTATGATCTAATATTTACATTCATATCTTTAAAAAGCCAGTTGCTTAAAAATACATTTCTTTACAAATTCAAGTCCTGTTATCTGGTACCCTTCAGTTCTTACTTTCCAGAAACTTAAGAAACTACCACACAGGAAACAGAAGGTCAGGTATTGGTCCTTCTGACATTTTTTTCCTTATAACTTATTTAAGGGAATGTCAACCTCATTAAGTCAAAGAAATTCTTTTCATTACAATCAGCTTCTTGCCCTGAGGGGTACAAGCTAAATCTTCCTCACAGGTTCTTTCAAAATGCTATTATGACTGATAAGTTTTACATTAACATGTCTTTCTGCTATTATATCTCATATACATACTTTTTAAAAATGTTCAAAAATAAAAAAGTACATAAAATTGGCATTTTATCATGAGAACAATTATATTTATAAAATAGGACAAACATTAAAGCTTCTATAACTTGTTCATTCACAGGCAGCTCCTCCAACGTTATTCAGAGAATGGCTCTAGAAGGCAGCTTCTTGGAGAATCTTGATGCCCAGGTTTTGTGGTTTCTTTGTTTAATAGGCACTGCAGTGGAAGAGAAGACACAAATAAAGTCTCCCTGGTTCAGGAGCTAGAGGTTGGCTTCTGTCTCCAGGAGAATGGAGAGAAAGAGGCAGAGTGGGGCCGGGCAACATGGCAGCGGCTGTTGTGGCTTTGCTCCCTAAGAAGTAAAAACGAGCCTCTGTTTGAGGGTTGGGGATTCTTGGGAGGCCTTGGAGTGGAGAGGACAAAAATGCTGAGTCTGGACAATAGTCAGTGGTGAAATATTTCAAAATCTGAAGGTGAACAAATCCTCTTTTCAGACTTATGAAAATTTCTGGAAATGAGAATATCTAGAAAATAGAAAAGCAATGGGGAAAGAGACACAAACAAACCATACACTCTCACAAAAATGTGTAGGCATTACATTAAATTACAGTTAGTGTGAGCAAAGCTTAAGAAAGTGCCTGAAGGCAAGTAACTGGAGCTAAGTATGACTAACTTTGAAGAAAACCAGAGTTTAAGTAAGTAGTTCATAGGCTTTTTGATATAACAGGTAAGTACCTTAAAAAAATCAATTTGGGAGCTGACTCTTTTCTTTTATGCCAATAAGGGTAGAATTATTTGACTAGAATTTATTATCATTATTACTATTGTTCCATTTTTTTCAGTAGTAGTCCCACCTGTATATACACAGTCCAACATTTGTTTATTTTTTTCTTATTTTTAAAATTGACATTTGGCTGATATAACACAGTCCAACATTTACATGCAATTCTTGAAACTGCATTCAGCATTGTGAGAAAACTCAGGACATTGTCCTAATTTTTCTCATTTTGCTAGGGTCACTTTGTCATTAACCAACTGGTTCAGATTAGTGTTTTAAAATGTTAGCAAAATCTCCTAAACATGTGCAAGATAGTATTATTATCTTCAGAGAAATTCATGTTGGTGTTACCCTGAATGTACTTAAAAGCTAATAGATTCAACATACCCTGATCATTTATGGATAAATACTTACTGGTAAATATTTAAAAATACAGTATAAAGAGCATGCTTTAGTACTGAGAGCATGTGGAGGTAGTAACCAGAAAAGGGTCGTGTTAATCAGGGAATATTCTTGCCCTTCTCTTTAGGAAACAGGAAACTGGAGAGGTTGGAGAATATCAAGGTAAAACATATGAATAAACCCTGACCCTGCTTGCCTTTGGGGTCAAATGACAGTTGTTACATGGTTTTGATCTTGTGTGTTTTTGCTTAAATTTTCAGGAGAGTCTGATGGGTGAACTCACCTGCCTGGACCATGTGTCAGCCCCTTTTGCCATTAGCTGTGGCAGGAGGGGCCAGTCAGAGCCATGAAGGACAAACCTGGCTGACCACGCTCACCTTCCGGCAAGTGCTTGGAGCTCCCTCTGAAAGGGTATTCTTGATAATTTTCTGAGAAGCTGGTAGGGACTGAAAATTCCTACTCACATTCATCTGCCATTCTTAATAAGTTTGATTCTTATAAGCTTGTTTACAGCTCCATTTTTCAGGCAAGATTTAAAGGGGTGGGTCTTAAATGTGGAAGAGTCTATGATCTGGTATCTTTTCTGAGCAGAAGAAGATAAAAAAAATAAGTCCTGAGATTTTTTGATTTACTGATGAAGCTGATCATTTTTTTTCCTAATCGCCAATATTTTAAACTGAGAGTATTTCTATTTCCTCCATTTTATGAATCAGTTGAATTTTGTTAACTTTGTGAAATGGTTGGAAGGTAGCGAGAAGAAAGCATAAAAAAATAGTTCGTAAAAAGATTATGTGGATTATCGGAAAATAAGGCAATAAAAGAAAACAAGGGGGTATAAAAATTATGGTATTTTTTTTAACCAGAGTTAAAAAAAAGCAATGATAAAAAGCTATGGTAAATTGAATATATTAATTAGAAGTCTTGGCTGCATTGACAGAAAATCAAATAAAACTGACTTAAGCAAACAGAAAGTGTGTTATAAATATATTGGATATCTCATAGAAATCAAAGCTGCCAGCGAGGAACAGCTAGAATCTAGGATTCGAACACAAGCAGGAGACTCTGTTCCTCTGGGTGCTCTTATCATTTGCTCAGAAGTCCACTTTTGGACTAACCAAGATGGCTAGCTGAGTGGATGTAATAGCATACCTGCTATCAGTGAAGTAAATATATGGAATGGGGAATGTGGAACAGGAAGAGGGTACTGTTTTCAGAAGAAGTAAAAAAGGGTATTAAACAAAGCAGAGATGTCCACCTCGTTGAAAAAGTAGTGAAGAAGCAAGACAGAGAAAATGGCTTGTCAAGTTTCTTGAATATTTAGACATAACAAAGATCAGTCAGCATCAAGGGTCAACTACTCTCCCCCATTATAAAGAAATACGCCTTTGTTCAGGGACATCATTGCAAGGATGTACCAACAAACGGCAACCTGTAAAATCCTTGGTCTATAGTGCAGTGTTTAATTGCTAATATTCTTTGTGCACTCATCATGTACAAAGTACTCTTCTAGATTCTGGGATACGGGGAGGGAGTTACAAAGATGAATAGTTCCTTCCCTTAAGGAGTTCATACTTTAGTAATCTGTAGAAGGTAAAGGGAGCTGTACTGACTGGGTCAACATAATGTAAGGATTGATCATTTGTTATGAAGCAAATCCTGAAATCATATTCCATCATTTTCTCTAAAGAATAAATTGTGGTATCTAAAAAAAAAATACATGCTCTATAGATGCCACAATTGGTGGTCTGAACTAAGTTTTCAGTCTGTCAGACATCCTCAACCATACCCTACATGCTGGTCACACAGACTGGTTTTAGCTGGAGACTAACTGGAATTTGTTTCTGTCTCTCTCTTTCTCACTCGCCTTCTGGGGAAAGACCAGTGACGAAAGAGGAAGGTAGGTTAGTTTGAATAAGTGATGTTAAGTGTACTTTCATTTACTAATATTAATATTAATCTTTAAACCTAGTTTTTAAAAGTTGGGGAGGCTGAGGGGAAAACGGGTTGGTGTGAGAGGTTTGACGGATACCAGCAGGTGGCGCCTGTCTCCTCCGCGGAGATTACAATGTTTTATTTTCAGCCGAGAATCCTGCAGGAATTAAGTGAGACTATGCACACAATCAAAGCAAGGATATAAATCATGCAGCCTTTAGGGAAGAAAGACTTTAAATCCATGAAATCAAAAGTTCTAGCCTGTTACCCAGGCGTCACCTTTCCGCTTTATCACTTAAAAGACTGGCCCTCCTACATTGAAGGTCGTATTATTTTCGAACTTGACTCGCATTCTCATTTCCCTTAGCTAAATTGTTCAGTGATGATCAAACCATGGATATCGAACAAAAATAACGGCCCTAGAAAGCTGGAGCTGAAACTTAGGAAAAGAGTGGGACTTTCCCAATCTTCCAGCTGGTCTGCCCTATGGTGTCAGATATTCTGTCGCCTCTGGTGAGCCAGCCTTGGTCTGGGCAGAGTATGCAAGTGGCCATGTCGGTTCCCAGGCCCCAGAAGGTCAAGAAGGTGCACGAAGACACACGGACAATACCTGTGCGCAGGCGCAAACTTCTAACCGTTCCTTGCACCACTCAATTCCGGGGCTTAGTCAGTTAATAGCCAGCCCCTCTCTCTTATGACAGTGGATTCCGTCCACCATAAAAACTCCCCTCATTTTGAAAGTTCTTCCGGTCTGTGTCTGGTTTCATACTTCAGAAACGCTCAGGGACCCTTCTGCCCAACTTCTGTTTGCTCTGGGGTTCTGCCAGGGACTATACAGGAAGGAGGGCAGCCCTAGAGTGGAGGGCTACAAATTCAAATCCAGCTTGACCTCTGAGTTGCGTGGCTTGCTTTAGACAAGTTTCTTATTTTTCCTCTCATGGGGCTCCTGGATTCATGTGATAATGTAGACTACCCAGACCAGCGTTGGCTCATTGTCGGCGCCCAGATGCCAGGGGTCGTCTGTTGGCTTACCCCTACAGTGAAAAATTGTCTTGGGGATCGCTGAGTCAAAAAGCGTGATACAGTTCGCATAGTTGAGATAATCTCTCACCTCCCGTGATCTCACCGTATTTCAAATCCCATCTATTGCCTCGCCGCCGTCTTCTCAGACCCCCTAAAATCTCTTCTTCCCTAAAACACCCTGGGCATCAAAAAGAAACCCAGGGGCGTTCGGCGTGTAAATGAAAGAGAACCCGCGTGCAGACGTCCAGCCCCCCACAGCCGGGATTGGCAGGCCGCGCGAAGCGACGCAGCGGGGGCGGCGGAAAGCTCGCGGCTGGGCTGACAGCTTGGGGGAAGGAGGAGGAGAGAGCAGGCGGCGGAGGAGGGGTGAGCCACACAGAGGAGGGAGCAGGGGCGGGAGGAGACACATGCGCGCTGCCTGCCGCCGCCGCGGCTGCAGTACTTAGCTTCCTGGGGACAGGAAACCTTCGCGACCGAGCTGCCACTGCCGCCTCCCCGTCCGCCCCCCACTCCGCGCGCTTGCCACACCCTCTTCTTCCAGCATCCTGCTTGGAGCACTGCAGGCTCTCGGCCGAGCTGCCGTATCCCCCTCCCGGGGGAAAGCTGTGACCCCCTCCCCGCAGGAGCGGCGGGGCGGGGTTGGGGGGGGGGTGCGGGAGAAGATGGCGACGCCGGGAAGCGAACCCCAGCCTTTCGTTCCTGCCCTCCCGGTGGCTACTCTGCACCCACATCATCATCCCCACCACCAGCACCATCAATACCACGCAGGAACCGGGTCCAGCGGCGGGGTCGGGGGAGGCGGCGGCGGCGGCGGCGGCGGCGGGGTCTTCAACCTGCCCTTGAACCGGGGGCTCGAGCGCGCCCTGGAGGAAGCGGCCAACTCCGGGGGGCTGAACCTCAGCGCCAGGAAATTGAAGGAGTTTCCCAGGACAGCAGCCCCTGGGCACGACCTCTCTGATACCGTGCAGGCAGGTAAGAAAGGGTCGAGGGCCGGCAGTGGACGTGGGTAGCTGTCTGTCGTGCTTTCCCTGGCGCTGTGGCCAGTCTGGGATCCGGTGTCGCTGGGCGTCTGTCCATCGGCCAGTGTTCTCCCGAGTAAGGAACCCGCGTGGGCGCGGGAGAGGCGGGCCCGGCAGAAGGCACGGTGGCCACCGCCTCACCCGGAGGCCGGCGTAGAGCGCTGGAAGAGCTGGGGTGCGCCCGGCCGCTGTGCCCGAGAGCGCGGGTCTCGGGCCACGCCGGGGAAGTGGCCGCGGGGCTGGGACTTGCGGGCGCTCTGCGGGCGCGCAGTGCAAGTGGGAGGTTTCAGGGGGCCGCGTCGGCTTCCTGGGTCTCAGGCAGGGGCCCGGGAACCCGAGCGCCGCGTTTGCGCCTCGCCCCAGGGCAAGCCCTCCTTGCGCCGAGGCGTCGCCCGTCCTAACGCAGACACCTAACAAAGGTGGTGCGCCCTGGGGCGACCTGCGGGCATCGGCGTGATGCGGTGAAGTACCCCTGAGAAGTCGTGGAGAGACCGGGCAACTTGGGGAAGACGCTAGGACGGGAGGAGGCTTCCTCTTCCTGCGCCTGTGCGGGGAGAGGCGCTGCGATCGTCGCGAATCCGTACCGGCAGCCACTTTGCAGGCGGTCGGCGCCCTTGTTCTTTGCCTTTAGCTAAGCCGCCCACACGGTTTGGTTCTTACCTCGGAGGCTGCCTAGTTCTCAGTTACCCGATCTTTGCGGGGTCCTAAAAGGAACGGCATAGCATATTTAAAAAAAAGTAAAGTGAGCAGGTTTTCCAGTGTGAGCCTGACAAGTTGTAACTCGCGCCAAAGAGCAGCCAATTTTTTCAAGTTCTGTCATGTGTAGACAAATTTCCGAGACTTCTTCTTTCTCTTCGTTAGTTAAGAGTTACTGGAGCGGGATCTATAAACAGGAAGGAGGGTGGTGAAACGCGATTCGGGCCTTGGGATTCTTACAGAACTGACTTGGTTTCCTACCGTCGGGCTCAGCTCCTCCGGGGGTGGGGTGTGTGGGAGGGAGTTGTATCTAGGCAAGCGCCCAACGTATTCCAGAATAGTGGGTGCCCCATTTGGGAACTTCTCCGCAAGCCTCCTGTCTGTCATCACCTCACGGACCGGGTGTCAGACTCCTTGGATAGCTGGTTTGACACTCAGCTATCTCCCAGTTTCTTTTTGTGGGGGCGAAGCAGAAGCAGTCGGCTTAGGGAGCTAGATTTCCGGTGCCGTTTCCCTCCTTTAATTCAATAAACATTTTCTAGAGTCTTAATGAATGTTTAGACAAAGTTCTGAATTCACTGGAGGCAAAGAGGGCGGCTCTTCAAGGTCATGAAACTTTGTAATTTGGGTTTAGGGATAGTCAGAACCGGCAAAAAGGAGGGAATTTCCAGAGTTGAGCTGTCAACAACTGGGGAGTCTCTTGATAGGATCTCTTAGTTACATTTTCTCAAGTGGAAGTTATTCCAAGAATTGCCTCAATCATTAACTTAAAAAAGTTAAGTTATAGTACTCTTTTGACATAGAGTGTACCATGAACTATGAAAGGGTTGGATATGAGTGCAGAAAATGGAGTTGGAATGACCAATAATAACAGGTGTTTTTATGTTCAGTAGGGGGACTTGAGGTTGTTTACCTGCTTCAGTTATGCTGATGTTTATTACTAAACTTGGGTAAATTGATGTGTCTGCTGTGTTGGCATTTCTTTGAGAAGACCCGTGTTTTTAAAAGCATAGACCACCTCTCTCAGTTACGACCTTGCCATGTGAAGTAAGTGCTTAAAAATATTCCTGTTCTCTTCTCTTCCTTGCTTGTTGGTGAGCTTAGGTTGTTTTGTTTTTAAATTACGAACCTTACTTGCACATGTTTAATACTCAGAAAATTCTAACTAGTGAAAACTCAGAGGCTTAACATTAACTCCCTGTCAAAAAATGTAGTATTAACTGTGGGAAGGGAATGCTACCAAAGTGTGTAGAAACTTAGAACAACCCAATAAAGATAAAGAGTTCTGTGTAGCTAGCTATTTTACATGAAATTTGACTACCCCAATGTGTTAAAAAGTTGCTTCTGCACACATCTTCGCCTTTGGTCAAAAGCTGGGTGTAAACCAAATGTATTCTGCCCTTTGTTCTAAAGAAGTATTTACTGAGCACTGTTATTTGGAAGAACAAAAATCAAAATAGAGCAAGAGTTAAAATTACCTCCACTTTTCACAGTGTTGACATTTCCTACATGTAAAGAGTCTCGTGGAGCAGAGAGTGAGTGGTAACATATACAGTACAGTAAAGATAGTGGTTTCTCCTGGGTTAATATTTAGTTTACAGACTATTGTTTAGAATCAGAATGTCACAATGAAGATCCTTAAAGACCTAAGATGTAAAGTGTACTTTTTCATTAGTTTTGTAAGACAGGAAGTGATATAGAAAGCTTTTTTCTCACTGTTCAGCTGTATAACGCAGGCCAACATGTTCATGCCTTGTGACAGTAACTCTCCTTGGGCAATGTAGCTTATCTGAATGGGGTTGAAAACCCAGATGTCAGCACAGAAACACAGAGGCCCTGGGCGGCTCAGTTGGTGTGTAAGCTCTGTCACTCAAGTACTACACATTTTTCTGTGTATGAAGGAAATACACAGAGGGGAAAAAACCTCTCAGGCTCTTACTTTGAACCTACTGATTTACTCAGATTTGAGTCAAAAGAGTTTGCTGCCCTTTTGTAGGTGAGAAGGGGAAGAGGCTGAGCCATGCAGGTGTGGTGGCGCAGGTGGCGCTGGCTGAATGGGAGAAGTGTGGCCAAAGGAGCCACATGGCACTTTGTGCGTGCATTTCCCTCTGTGCCAAGTACTGAATCTACATTATTGCACCTGATACCCATCAGAAGCCCTTTAGTATCCTCATTTTTAGCTAGGAAGATTGCCATGGAGATAAGTCAGGTAATGTGCTCAAGGTCATACATACACCTACTTAGGCAGTGGAGCAAGGACTGGACCCTGATGGTTTCACTTGAGAATTTAGGTTCTTGACCGGATTCCTATTAAACAGGAAAGGGGTAGAGAGAAGTAGAATCTGGGAGGCTGTCTGGAGGCTCATTCAACCAGTGTGCCAGCCACCATTCTAGGTACCGGGGATACAGCAGTGCCCAATAGAGCTTCTCTATATCCCTTCTTAGGCAGTTTTCATTCTAGTTAGACGGGGATGGGAGAAAAATGAAGAAATTGATTTTGCAGAATGAATAGTAAGTGTTATAGGATAAACATAGTATCTTGGTTTTAGAAATATACAAGGTGACCTGAGATGACTTGTAACAACAAGAGCATAATAATAAATATAAGAGCAAGTAATGAATATAAACTGAACATAAAACTGGGCCCACACACAATTAGGTGCATCAGGAAAGCAAACTGTTTTTCTAGGGCTGATTTCTTAAGTAGGGTCATTTTGGGATGCAGACACTCAAAACGGTATGAAAATATGACTGAAAACAAGCAGACTGAAAAGAAGTATATGAAAAGAAAGGTTTGTGTTAGGCTGATTGCAGGAGGGTCTAGAAAATAAAAAGGAAGCCTTTGGACTTGGTGTGCAGCACAGTTATTGAAGGTTGTTCTTATTGAGGAGAGAGTGGAGTGCATCATTGCAATATCTTTGAGGTGGCTGGACCCAGGAAGACTATATGGGAAGAGCTTACCCAGGCAGAAATATAGAAGTGCAGCATAAAAAAATACTCACCGAGATCCCATGTGTGTGATTGCCGTGTACAACAGGAGGTGCAGAAGGCAAGACAAGACAGGAATGCATGAGACACTAAGTAACAGTTCTGGGAAACCAGGGAAGCCTCAAGACAGGTCCGAGTGAGATGCCAAATGGCATAGGTAAACATTGTCAACAAAATTCAGAGGAAGAGGCCATTTCAGTTAAGCTGATTTGGAGAGACTTTCGTAGCAAAGGTAGGATTTGGGTCTGGTTGTATGGGATGGATAGGTTTGGAATGGAAGTGCCCACAAACATTCTGTGGTTGGGGAGATGGTTCCAGGATAGAGAGTGAGAACCTGACAGGCTAAGATTTGTGAATAAAAAATAAGAGAAGTCATTTAAATCTGTACCTCTGGTTATATCTTCCCACCCCACTAGCCACCATATAATGGGGTAACTGAATGCCAGGTTATTAGGACTCAGTTTTAAGGACTCTGGAGATGGCTAAGGCCTGGGATTTGTCAGTCTATAGGACTGGTGCCCTGGCGTGTCTGCGTTAGCTCACTCAAATGGCTGTCCAGATTAAGAGAATTTTCTCTGAGATTTGTGGGCAGGCTTATCTGCTGAAGACATATTTCTGCACCGCACTCCCATCCTACAGCAACCGAGTCCTTGGGATATTAGCACGCTTTAGTCATTGGAATTCAGGACTTGATAAGTCTGTTCATTCTGAAGAACATGTTCTCTTTCATAATTTTGGCATAAGGGTTTTCACTGCAAATGTAATGAAACTTTTTAAATCATTCTGTTTTCTTAAAATGTGTGTTTTTTTATATCCAGTTTCAAGTTATTTTTCAGCTCTGAATTAAATTTGTTAACAGCTCTGTCATTTATTGTGGTAATCACTATCATATGATATCTGTATTCATTACACATATTCCACATACTTCTCCATTCATGAACACTTAGTCATGCCGTTTTCTTTCTGATTATTAATTTTTCTTCTGTTGATACATTTCTTCTTTGTTAAGAGGTTTGGAATGGTAGAAGACTTCAAATAGTAGAAGCTTTTAGAACAACTAGGACTCTATATGGTGGCTCCAATCAGGTCCAAAGATGCTCTTGCACGTGTCTGTGGCTGGCAAAACCAGTCTCCACAAAGGTGCTGCTGTCGTCATTGGTTGTGTTACAGGCTGCACTTTATCAAAAAGGTAGGGGCACACTAATCATGTTTCTAGAATAATAGCTAAAGGTATGGGCCACAAAACCTCTGGGAATTTTTGGTCTGTGCCAGTTTATAAAGGATCAGCTCAAGGTTTGACCTTCATCATTGGAATGATTCTACTGGATAGTTTGTCAGTCACTATGACATCTTTTTTGACTTATGGTGAGTGTATGTTATCAGACCAAAATTTGGTACACCCCACCATTTAAAATTTTTTATTGAAATTATTGAATAAGATTTTTTTTTTGAGCTCTGTTGCATGCAAACTTGAGTTATTTCATGCTGTGGCTTGGTAATCCTTTGGTGTAAGCATTTAAAGAGTTGTTACCTTTTGAAACCCATTGCTGATTGTTGATCAGTTCAGAGGCCAGCTTCCTTTTACTCTTGCTGTTCTTCTGCTATGTACAAAGACTTTTTCTGTCCTGTTAGTCAACTTTATCATTGCTTGTGTAAAGTTAAGTTGTTTCCCTCCTTTGTGTGTATTTTCATATATACATATATATAACATAAAACCATATGCAAATATATATGGTTTTTATGTTTAGATGGGCTACATTTATTTTCTCTTAATATCTTTCCAAAGTCATCTCCCCCCAGGTGCTGTATTGAATATGCTTTTCCAGAAGCTTGGTAATTTAAATGGCAGAAATGCTGTTAACTCGTCTTAAGGTGGCTGGAGGTTCATCAGTAAGGCCACATAATTTGAACTTTTTTCTAAGCCTCAACAAAAACCTGTTTATGACACTACTTTCCAGATTTGGCTTAGCTTTTTGGAAAATTAGACTTCTGCCTTAGAGGGACATAGGGGTAACGGGCCTGGATTTAGACCTTGTCATGCCATCAGCTGGTGGATTCTTTCAGTGATTGAGCCAGTTGTTGGCATTAAGGTCATTTGGTATTAATTGCAGTGATTATTTCATAATTATAAGATTATAATCTATCATAAAAGGTTTAAGGATGTAAGACACAAAACCCAACTATATTTACATATCTGATGCCTTCATTTATGTTTAATTTATAGGAAGTCAGGAGGCTTCTGTTACTGTGTTTTTGTTGCATGCAAGTTTTCTTGCACCAGACTTTGCAGTTGCTATGATATCTCTGATAGGTTTTTTCCTGTGTAATGTGAATTGTTTAACCAAGAGGAAAAAAAAAGCCAGAAGGAAAAGAAAGAAATAAACTTGAGGAAAAGTAGG